GAAAAAGATTCCATAGAACAAACCGGTTTGCAAATGTGTATTCAGCCTCCAATTTAAATGAAAATGAGCCAAGAACTGCGCACATATTTCATACACTGGCAGGCAGAAACATGAACACATCCACTGGCACAAACTTAAACACAGACTCACACACACATACAGGAGGTACTGTGAAGAAATGTATAGCGGCTAAGATTGAAAGCTGTGTTCGAATTCCAGTTCAGTACATTCTCTTATGTGTTAATACCCTTGGAAAAGTTATGAATCCATCTCTTCTCCTCCAGCAAGACAGACTGGGTTCTATAAAGCTGGTTGGCCAATTGGTCTAAGAGAAGAACAACTCTGTATTCAAAACCCGTGGAGGGTTGTGCACCAGTTCTCGGGTCTTCCAAAAAGTGTGGTTGATTATGCACAAGCCTTCACGACTATAATCAAATTATATGTGCGGGTAGTCTGGCTGCTGGTTCTCAGAAATGAGCTGCTTGACCCTTATACATAGAAAACGACGAGAGAGTTTAGTATAAAAGTGTACATCGAGGTCAACACCTACCGGCGACAGTACACTGTTATATTTGCCTATGTTCTCTCCGTGATATTGAACGTTTTAACCCACAAATATACCATAATTTAAAGCTATACTTTTTCTCATGTATGTCTATTAGCCTAATTGTTCGACACTACTAAGTCATCAAATTATTTATTTGTCCGTCGCTGCCAATAAACGGGTAGACAACAGAGTCAAGTGTGGGACTTTCCCACCAGATTCTTCCGGGAGGGTTGTCAGAGAGGGTGAAGGATTTTTCCCGTCGAAATAGATGTTGCGGTTGTGGTATCTGTTCCGTGCCTTCTTCACTCCTCTCTTGCTTTCCCGCCACCGTTGCGTGAAATCTGTTACGTAGCGGTAGACCAGTTGCCATCCAAGGCTATATAACCAGATCTGTCCTGCTATTTACCCATAGTTGGGGGTAGAAGAAGATGATTCATACCTTTCCCAAGGGTATTAGCACGTAAGTGAATATAATGTATTCGACCAGAATTCAAACTCGGCTCACTGATTCCTTAATTCGAGCCGCTATCCATTACTCCTCCTCCTTGTGACGTAGTATGACGTATAGCAGAGTACCGTCTGTGTGTGAACTGTCGATGGTAAACCATACTGCGATAAGATTCGGCGAGGTTTACGAGTCTAGTGTAATCGAGTTACATATTCTGAATGAATGGACAGCATCGGTTCCTGTCAATGATTTTGTTGTTTGAATGCTGACAATTTTCTTTAGTTATCCATTATCGTCTAATAGAGTCAGTGACAGAATTGCCCGCTTCATGGAGTAGTAGGAATCATACGAGTTTTAAAGGAACAATGGCGTATGTTCCATCATTACTGAATTCTCCTAAGTATGACTTCCCTAATCATGATTTAGAGTTGTTTTTTTTTTCGGGAAAATTAATTTTTTCGGGAATTAACATACAACGCCATTGTCTTTAGACAATGGCGTTGTATGTTAATTCCCTATTGTGATATGTTTATGTAACGGTAAAAAAGGTTAATTTTTCTCGTGTTCTAGATATGACATCTGCCAAAAGTTGGTAGGTTCAATCCGTAGCGAAGTATCTCAAGTATAATTATTTTATTTCAAATTTAAAATAAGAATGTACATCTTCAGCTTTTGAGAACAGTCGGCAACATGATTCTTTTCGATTTTCGCTGAAAATATTTTTAAACTGTTTGTTTTACGGTATATCAACCTCAATGGGTTATTTAATGCCGACAAGATTTTTTATTGATGGCAATATTTTTTCAAAAATGTATTGCTGGTAATATATTTTTTCTAAACATATATAGCAAGTAATGTTTTTTTCTTTAAGAATGTATTGCTTTTAATATTTTTTTTTCGTCAAAAATTCATTGCTGGTAATAATTTTTACAAAAATATATTGCTGGTATTAAAACCTATTTTTAAACTTTCATTGTTTTTTGACCCCATTTTGAGGGGTTAACTCTTCGCCCATAGCTGGGGCCCTAACAGCTGCTACCACCTGGAGTCAGGGTGGACATGGGAATACCAGCAATTACGAGGTGGTTCCACGGGCCCCAAAATCTCCTGATCAGAGGCATTGCTGTTGGACGTAGTTTATCGTCTTACCCAGGACGAACATTTTTGATATTATTATCCACCCACCCAAAGAGTTACTGAAGATAAAGGGTTACTGAATGAAGTTGTTGCAAATGGAAGAAGTAAAAAGTCCATGTTATGAGGATATGTAGGATAGATAAAGGTTGATTTTGTTGCGGGACTCACCACTTTTGTTTAGTGATGTGGAGATTTTTTAGTATAAGTTTATAGGCTCCTGGTACATTTCTTCCGTAAACAGTATTGAGCCCGGGTAAAATTAAGAACAAAAACATGGAACTTAAACAATAAAATATAAATTAATATAAATTAAATTATAAATATAAATAAATAAATATATTAAACGTGTGTGTTAAAAAATGAATATGAATAATGAAGTTAATGTTGCGAACAATTTATAGCAATGTTCAGTATATGTTTCTGGAGTACTTATATGCCGACAGAGCGGTAAAGGCTTCTTGTCACGAAAAAAAAAAAAATGAAAATAAAGGAAGCTTTCAAATATCAGACCGCCTGTGAATATCATCAGGGTCTAATCCAACAGATTTGACTTGAAACAGTTATGATTGTACTGATCGGGGTAAGGACCATATCGAGATTATTTTCCACGAACCACCTCTTTATTTCAGTTTTTCCAGGTCCACTGTAACCCGGGGTAGTAGCTATGGACAAATATTGAACCTCCAAAAACAAAAACAAAACAAAAAAAGCCCCCCCCCCAAAAAAAAAAAAAAAAACAAAAGCAAAAACAACAATTCTATGAAAGTGTAGGAATACATTTTTGTAGTAATATACCCGAAATACCTTTGAATAGTAAAAATATCAGCAATACATTTTTTATAGCAATGACCAACAATGAGATATTATCTGTAGCTGAAACAATAAAATTCAGTTCAAAATATTTAAATTCCAGCATTAAATAACCCATAGAGGTTGATATGCTGCTAAACAAAATGAAAAAACGACATAAACGAACTTTTTCATGACATTAATCCATATAATATCCTACAATTTCTTAAAGAAATCAAACTGTATTCCAAAATATAACTTCAACAATACTATAATATAAAATACATATATAACAGCCTTTAGTAATAATATCCACACAAACATGTATATGCACAAAAGCTGAGCATCATCTACCATGTATTCAACTGTGAAAGCAGAATAACATATGTCATAATTCTATTCAAAGAATAATAAAAATTAAATTTCGGCTTTAAATGACGTATAAGGATGTTAATATACTATTAAACAAATAAAACAAGCTGTTCCAGAAAGTCACAATTTCTATGGATAAGTTGTCTAGGAAGAGAATGAGGATGTTGAACTTGTGAATGTGGCATGACGGTTCAAAGATGAACTTATCGAGAGTCTAGCAACGGCTCTTCGTCTATGGGAAAGACATTTTTAGGGTGGAAAATAATTCATCACCCCGAAAGCTGCGTAAACGCTATTGAACTCTATCGGGATTGGACAGTGAGGACCAAAATATAGCAACAATACTCCATTTTCGGTCTGATTTGGCTCTTGGAAAGATGGATCATAGCGAGAGCAGTTAGGTACTTTCTGGCGAAGTACAATAAAGCGACCACAATCTTTAGCGATTGTAAGAATATATAAATTCGACTTGAGACCTGGAGTGAGCTTTAATCCTGTTAGCGGAAGACTAAGATTTCATGAGATTGGGATTATCTGCTTCACACGTGGAAGAGAGTACGTTCGAGCCTCAAATAAAATCGTAACATGAAATCAGTTCTCAGTTCAAACCATCGCTACTCATTTAGAGTTTGTTAAAGTTACGGCAATTCATTAAAATTATCATTTTGTTATTATTGTCTAGCCTAAACTTTCTGTAACATCTTTTTTCTTTAACCTCAGCCCAAAGCTGATCTCTCTTTTTTCCTATAGCAGGCGCGGGGGTGTCTTGGGGCTTGGCATGCGTGCCAATCATGCTACGTCGATGACTTGTTTCTGGCACGCAGAACTTATTCATTAGATTCCCTGTTGACTTTTATTCTTTATACTCTTTTGTGTATTATTATCTCGTGTATTTTGATTTTCTGCCCTTTACAAATTGTGCAGAATGTCACGATCATCAGGTAAGAAATGATGTCATTCAAATAAAGTGCATATTAGAGAACTTAAAGAATACTAGAGTGAAAAATTTGTCATGATAAGACAATAAAGCCATAAGCATTTTCTGTTCCGAAACAATCATTTGTAGGACTTCTTCTGTAAAGAGACATTTCAAAAGTGTTCAAAAGAACTTGCTGCTAGTTTTGAGGTTTTAAAATTTTTTGTTGGCACGTGGAAAAAATTTGTCCGGTCTTGGCATGCACTTTCAAAATGTTTGCCCACCCCTGTCCTATAGTATTGCGTTAAATAATAATTGCCATTGTCGTTTTGAAGGGACTCATTTCTAGATCATTTCATACGAAAACAGGCCTTGGTCCTACGATGATTTCAGATCTTCATCAAAGATTTCCCCGTTGTCATCTGTTCCCACTTAGGTATTTATGCAGATGAGACTACCATTTACTCCTTTCTCAATAGCAAGTTCTATATATCTGACAAAATAAACATGGCAGCTGCTCTTGAAACGGATTTCCAATTCGTGGTTAACTGGGGCAAGAAATGGCTTGTAAATTTTAACATCTTCAAAACAAAACTTTCATTTAACCACCACAGAGATTCTTTTCTACCTGCTAAAAGCATGGTGGGTTCTAGATTCCAGAGGAGCAACACACCAGACCTTCTTGGCTTCATGTTTTCCATTTTCTTGAAGTAGAGGGGATATAATCAATAGCTGCATCTACTGCAAGGAATGCTGGGTCACAGTTTCGTATCATACAATTTTTCTCGTCAGAATCTATCTTGTACATGCATAAATCTAGCATTCGCCGGTGCTTTGAATACCTGGTCTGGTGCAGCTGCTGTAAATCACGAGATTCTTGACAAAATTCAAAGAACGTTGTCGATCCTGATCAGGTACCTCAATTTCAGTCACTTTCTCATCGACGTGACGTAGCTTCCCTCTGTCTTTACAAATATTTTCATGTAAATTGCTCTGACGTTATAACTAGGTCCCATCCTTTTGCTATTGAATTAGTTAAATACAATCGCCAATTCAACTCCAACAGTTTCATTTCTTGCACTTCCCGACTGTAGAACTCCCTTCCGTTTACTTGCATCCCTGATAACTACAATATTCAGAAGTCTAAATTCATCATCAATCAACATCTTATGTCTTCTTGAATCCATTCATCTTTCGCCCTTTCCTCAATCCTCCCTATTCTCAGTCATCTCTTTAACCTCCACTCCCTGTAATAGCCTGCGTTTTAGTGGCATTCCCACCTTGCTTGGGGTGAAATGATTTAAGTTTTTTCTGCATAAACAAGGTTTATGGAACATTCAAGAGGGAAATGAATCAATTCACTCAAGTCACGCAAGCGTATGGAGTTTGAAGATAGATAACGATTTACCCTTGCCTTGAAGATGTTAAGATTATAGTGTTGAGGGGAAAACACACGTGAGTCTCTCTTCTACAAGATGGCTGCCTGAGTGTAACTTTCTCTTTCCATTTCTAACACAGAGGATGATTCCACTTCCTGAAAGTAGCATGGCGTGTCCCAGCAGTAAAGGTGTGAATTTTTTGGAAGTCAAGAATGGAAAGCATCTGAATATTTCCTTAGTTTCTAGCGAGAGAATAGCGATGTGTTTGCAATATTCCGTCTGTGAAAGAAGGTCTGACGAATGGCGAATAGATTTTCCTCCACAAAATCCCGTAAAAGTGGATTGTGCGTGAATGGAATTGGTGTACTGAGTTCAAAGTTCAGACTGTTGCGTTCGCTTTCATTCAAATAACTCTTGGAAAGGTATGAAGCCATAACCTATCTCATTAGTTATTGGTTAAATCATAGGGCAGACTGTTCTCTGTAGCTTCGGTTGGCAACCACTCTAGAAGTGCAACTCTGAATTCAAAACCTGTTGGGTTTAGTGCTAGAAACTTGTAAAAATATCTACTTGCTCCGCAGATAAGAGTAACACCGATCGTAGTAAAGCTGAGAATTTTCAGGGTCAACAGAACAGTTGATATGAAGCTGAGCCATAAAGTTATTGGAAAATTTTTTGCTAGTTAACAAAAAAAGCCTCGAAAACTGAATATGTTTATAATATACTAATTTCTCAAACCTATTTGGTTTCCAGAATTTTGGAGAAGAAATTGTATACGGGTATTTTTTTTTGTTTCGTCTTCCAACTTAATGCCATGAGGGCGTTGAGCCACAATTGCCACCTTGCCCCTTTTGTCTTGGCAAAGCGTGGAAACATCCTCCAGTGCCAGATTAATCTGCCGGAAGTCCTGGCGAGACGATGCTCTTCTAGCGAATGCATGGTCTGTCATGAGGTCATCTCCAATCTGTAGAGGACGGGACGAACTGGTAGATCACTCTGGTTGGATGGTGATCATCAGATAGTCGTAAGACGTGACCGAGTCAGTAAACACGGCGCTGAACACTGGTGCGGAAGGGTGCTCGGCTGATGCGGGACTCGAATCCATGGATAAATAAGGCGACGGTCTTAATGATAGGCCACGTTTCGGTGTCGTATAGTAGCAGAGAGAGGATAGTGGCATTATAGACTCATATTATGGTGAGTCGAGAAATGACACAACGACTCCATAGTGGTCTCTAGAGACTCTCATGACGCCTGCAGTCAGCCCATGTCTTCTGTTTTTTTTACAATGATTTCCAGCCTGTAAAAGGCTCAAGAGCCACTCGATGTAGAGGGTGACAGTTTATGGGGTTATGTAGGGAAGGTTATCTTTTGTACAGATTAAGATTGTGGTGATCGGGGAAGCATCCTTTAGGCTTAAAACATTTCGTAGGACGAAGCTTCTCGAGTGTAACTTGCCATCCACCCAGTGGAATACGAAGGGTATGAAGGTGGTTTACTCAGTTTGCGAGTATTAGCCATGGTAGAGCTAAGGAATGTAGTTCATCTTAACATTTTCCTTGGAAATAGCGATGGAGCAGAGAGAGAGAGAGAGAGAGAGAGAGAGAGAGAGAGAGAGAGAGAGAGACTTGCCAGTGTTGGAAACTTCTGAGCCAGATAGACGAAGGACGTGACGAATTCGATGCAGCCGTTGCCAGTTGGGGATGTATCCGTGTAAAGTTCACCTGTCAATCCACACACCACTCTCACCAGGCCCTTTCTCTTCTCCTTCTTCCTCTCAGTCCGTTAGCTTTGTCGCCTTTATAGGTTATCTGGCTTTCTTTTCTATCCCTGACACGTGTGGGTTGGCCCGGGTTTCCCAAAATTCTAGGACTTTAGGATTGACAGTGAAGTATACTGTTGACCCCTCTGTATACGTTGTGTACGACAGTCAAGGTTACGTAATTTCTGGTTAACTTTTGTCTCTTCGTGTCCTCGACTAATCTGTGTATCAGGCTGGAATGAAAAATTTTCAATAAAATGCGCAGCACTGTTGATAACTCTAACAGGCTTATTGTATATAAAGATAAACCCGCTTGAATAAAATGTTTATTATAAAATAAAGTTCTCTATTACAGGATGGTGATTTGGGAAATTTAGTGCAAAAGCTAAAGTAATAATAATCAGCAGTCGACTTTCATTCAATTCTTTAAAGAAATATCCAGTCTGCCGATTCTCATCCATGTCTTAAAAGTAATAACCATCCAGTCAACTCCCATACAATTCTTGGAGATAATGAATAGCTCGTTGAATATCACTTCATTCTTCTGTCATGTGTGTATCTATGTTGTAGCTTCGGCCTCGGGAATTACGGCTGTGCTCTTTAACGACGACAGTCATACATGCAATCATGCGCCACCCGGAACCGTCAGTCTCTGTGTCTGGGGAACCTTTGCTTATATAGACGATTTGTCCATCAAATCTGACATTCATATATCATTTCCGCACCCCAACTGACTTAATCTTAGGGGATCTTGCCAATTAATCATTTGGTATTTTCTTTGTATAGAAGCTCCCTAAATATCTTTCTGTAAAAATGACTGTGTTCTTTAGCGATCAATATAAACAAATCGCCAGTTTGGGAATTAACAAAATTCAAAATACTTCTTTGTCGAGAATAAATGGTAATAACACACTCGGTTTGGACAGATAGTATAATGTAAACAAACCCAAGGCCGTGGACTTAAGCAAAAGAGATTCCCCTTTCTTTGTTAAAAAGAATTTGGATTTTTATTCTCTGTAAGAGCACATACGTTTTGGAGAGATGGTTTATAGCAAACAAACATCTGAAGTCAGTTTCTCAGGAATCGGTTTTGCTCAGTTTTACGGTATCTTGTCTAGTTTAATCTAGAGTCAATTTTCTTTGGAACTGTTCCTAAATTAATTTTATTATTTTAAAACCTAATTTTTAACACGTTACTTTTTTAATTTTTTCTCAAACATTAAACCCACTCTCCTAAGAATTTTAATAATAAATTTCTAATTACTATACAGTAATTTCATGCAATTAAACGTTTAGACGGGATCAGTGCCATGTTACATTGTAATCGTCTCCAATGTGTAGCAGCTTGGTTTTCGACTAGTCGACGCGCTACCCAAGACTTGTCAATAAGGTTAACTATCTTAGACTTTATTGTTCCTATTATAATTAAAAACATAATTTTTAATCAATTAAATGCTCTCTGTAAATTGCACAGTCGCTTATATTTTCATCTCAAAGGAACTTAATAAACATCAACATTAATAGTACCAATTTACACATATCAAGTCCTGACTCGTTTGAATTGTAAATGAAATTGTCATTATTTTTACGCAGAAAACGTTTTTGAATGAAATCATGCAGCTATGTTTAAAAATAAATGATTCAATTCCGACTTATAAAAAATTGAATTGAACAATTTTATTTAAAATTTAATTATTTCTATCCTATGGGAAATGCGCTAATTGTGTGAAATGATAAAATGGCTTCATCATTTTATTTGTCAGTTGACACATTAATTTTGTTCATAATATCTTTAGATATTTAAAATGTTGACGGTAAAAAGCAAATGCCGCTCAAAATGGAATTTCATTTTGCAAAGAATTAATGCGATTCGAATTTCCAGACGACTTCGATCAATTTGATCCGAGTTTTGATTCCCCTTTGTCCGTTTAACATGTTTAATCCATGTCAAATATGACAAGTTAATTGCGATCAAAGATTGAGAAGTTAGGTGCCGGTATTTCATTTATTTTTATCATTCTATTTTCTTGTCCACTCTCTCGATATCTTCTTCAAAAAAGCAATGCGTTCTAGCCTTTCCCTCAAAAAGAAAATGGTTGGTTTCTGTTTTTTCTATTTTGCTGCCAGATTTACTTCCTATAATTGCCAACAGTGGTTTTATTTTATTTATATGATTATTAGAAATTATTCTTCTTCTTTTACTCCTCCTTCATCTTCATCTTTTCCTCCTCCTCCTCCTCCTCCTTCTTCTTCTTCTTCAACAGCCATTTATTAAAGATACTCAAAAAAGATCTCTTTGCAACTAGTTACCTTTCTTTAAGATATTGGTGTCAGGTGGACATTTGTCGATGTTTTATGTTTCGGACTTTTTCAAGGGGATAGAATCGAGAAATGGCCAAAAATTAATTCATAAACTACAAAATATATTCAAATTCCAACCGTATGGTTTCTAATAAAGTATTTTTCCAAAAGCTAATACTATACAGCAAGTCCTTTCTCTGTTCCTGCTGATAAAAGAAAAAATAAACATATCTTGTTAACCAACGCCTTTATCCACTTTGCCATTGTGTCCTTGGTAAGATCCAGTGACAGGACCCAATACCTGGTTAAAGCAGTAGAGAACTTGGAGAGGTGAATTAACAGGACGTAACTGATAATTGACATCCATTAGACATGGTACGTGAAACTAGGACAGTCTACCCCACCGAGCAAAATAACGGGTTTAGTTCGACATTCCAAGAAGGCCAGAGCGTGCAACGGCCGAAACGTTGTGATAAATATGGCCACAAAGATGAGGACAAAGAATAAATCACTAAAGTTAATGTAATTAATGGCGAAATCACTTCGCTAACAGATTAAATAAGGCATTAACTCACTAACCACTCGTTGAATGACGCGATCCTTGTTTGTGCAAACGGTAAAATGGATTAGTTTTTCAGTCCATGTTGCAAGTATCATCTTCAGGTATGGATGTCATTTTTCAATTTCAGATAGTTTCAGGTAAAATTCCGAGACGAAAATGTAATACTGGTCGATAAGATGTTTTTTTTTAAAGTGTGTTATCATTAACAGTTACAAAATCTAGTGACACTAAATTTTTCTTTTTGAATATTGTGAGAACTTTTATGAGTATTGTAATGTGGCAATTCCCGAATTCTTTTGCTGTAAGTGTTTTTCTTCCGTTAACGTGACATGGACTAATTGGTCCAATCATTAGAGCAATGTCCCAGTAGATTTCCATAAATTTTATACTGCAGGTCAATATGGACTGAACAGCTAATCCATTTTACAGTTTTTAAAAACAAGGATCGCGTCGTTCAATGAATGGTTAGTAAGTTAATGCCTTATTTAATCTGTTAGCGAAGTGATGTCGCCATTAATTACATTGACTTTAATGATTTATTCTTTGTATGACTATTTGTTTACAATATTGACTAAACTGTACTATTTAATAGATTTAAATATAGATATATATGACCAGGAATGCATACTTTTCATTTATGCATCGTATCGGTGCAGTTGAAGAAAAATGGGTTTTGCCTGTCAGCAGAAAACGAAAAAGAAGTTATCACAACCTGAGAAACCAGGGTAAACAGGAGTCCGTCTACAGAAGTCCTTGCTTTGTGTGAGGTGGAATATGAAAAGTGTTTACGAGCTACTGAAACATAGAAGGCGTTTATTGACTTCAGGCGTTTAATGACAGCAAATTGATCGGCTATCCGAATTATTACGTCGCAAATGTCCTACTTTGGTAAACAGAAAAACCGTTGGTCTCCAGCGTAGGAATTCAACATACTCTGCAATAAATAGAAAAAAAACAACAATAAAGGATAAAATAGATGGGATGGGGGGTTCATCTCCATCCGCCATAATTATCGAAATTCAAATACTAGAGACATTCAATTATTTCGATCAAAAATAATATGTCGTAATTATCAGAAAATTCAGAAAATGTTTGAATAGAGTTGAAAGAGATGCCTGTCTATATCTCTGAGATGAGGTATTATGATTATTTACATTATTTACTTTATTCGGAGACATATGAACAAGAAATGGTCAGTATAAGCAGTACCCTACAACGTAAAACTACCCCAGGTATATGACAACAGCTCCGACAAACAGGGATAGAAGGGTGCAAGAAGATAACAACACCCAGAAAACAGCTTCAGTCAGCCTAACCTATGTAACGCGATTACCGGAGGAAACACAAAAGTCCTGTGGTTCATATAACATCAGGACAATCTTCAAAAGTGGTTCAACACAAGTAAGACACCAAACAGAGGAGAACATGACTAAGAACAGTGTGTACACCATCTCGAGCAGCTGTTGTAAGAAATATAAAAGCGAAACAGGCCGCCCCCTTAAGCTAGGACTGCAAGAACACCGTAAAGGGGTAACAGAAAGGAAATAGAAAAATCAGTCGTAGCTGACCATATATAGACGGTAAAGGGAGATCACTGCCCACTGTGGGATGAGGTTGAAATAATAGACGCAGAATATCACTGAAAAATAGGAAAACTTAAAGAACCAGCACATATGCTAGGCCACAAAAATCTCCTGTGCGCCGACCAAGCATAGAAATGAATACAATATGGGAACAAGTAATACCGAGTGTTAGAGAAAAGTAAGGAATAACACAAAAATTGCAATATAAGTTCTGGTAAAAAATATGTAATAACGGAAAAGTTGCAACATGAGCACTGGTAAACATTAGGTTCATAAGTCTCACAAATTAATACATAGGTGTCCTCAAGGACACATGGCCCGTTAGATAAAGAAACTGGTTAATTCCAGTCTTTTCAGGGTGTGAGAAACATGACTTCACATTTTCCGGTATTAGTATTTCTTCGCAGTCACACACTAACTCGAAAAGTGACACAACGGTCATGGTATTGGTAATATGAGCCGTTTCCTTATAAGGAAATGATGGGGGTTTACTTCGTAACCTTTTGTTTGAAGTGGTGTGGAATATCAACATATTCATTATATCATTATTTTCGCTTCGAGGTACATATGCTATCCATTTCAACCGTTTCTACAGTTGAAAGTAATCAAGGAATGTACTTGCTGTTATATGGTACAGTTCTTTATGATTCTACCAAAAGCAAGTTATATTGACGATGACTTAAGATACCAAAACTCGCTTAAGAAACGCAAAAGTGTCACAAATCCATAGAAACGGGCTGGTAGAGAAACACACTCCTGTATATAACAGACGGATAAAGATAATTTGTTATTTTTCAACATATTTGAATCTCTTGAGTTTTGTTTTATTGCTTCTTTTACTTACGCTTGTGCGATATCACCTTTACCTCGGATTCAGCTTGCACTACGGCCCGACGCCTGATTGATTTCGTGTACCTAAGATCAAAGTCACAACGTGGGTAGGTTAGACTTGAGATCAAAGTAGTTACTTCGGTAATCAGACGTTGGAAGTGAACTGGGAATGACAAAGCTGGTATCAAACCGGGAACGACCAAATCGACTGGGACACAGGCTAGTGGCAGCAACAAGGAGTCAACCCCAAAATGCTGGTGGAAGAAACCTTACAGCTTCGCACCGCAACTGGGAGTTGACCACGGGCCGACAGCGCAGTGTCACATATTGGCGTCGCGACCAGAAGACGTCACATATTGGCGCTGCGACCACCGGAGGGTGTCACAATTATGGGCATTATTATATCCATGATATAAAACACTGATACGGAATGGAATGTCTGAAAGGAAAAAGAATGAGAAATATGTTTTGTTCTCAGAGACTTTTCTACTACTAAGACATATACAAAATTATATATACAAATATAGACATGTCGGATAATAAGATAAAACATATCTACACAGTAAAGCAGAGTGTAAGGAAAAATAAAAACGAAGGGTCTTACATATAATATTGAGTGTCTGGAAAAGCCATGTTTAGGAATCCACGTTCAAACTGGCTGGATTCATCTATGTCCTAGGCGACGACATATTGCCCGAACGGGAAACAGCGAGTCGGGTTTTTCCAAATTAAGAACAGCGAGCTGAAAATTCCTTTCTATATCGAGGAAAGACATATTCATGAAAAAGAAACGGCACCACCGACTTGTAATCTGCTCAGGAGGTAGAGTTAGCTTCTGTTCAGGCCGGGGGGGGGTCTAAAAATGCAATCTTTCGGTTAGCTGCTACAGAATGAACTGAATTTGGCTGCCGCTTTCGTCACTGTATGTAGTGACGTCACTAAGCGGCAGTCATGTGACCCACTTATCTTTTCTCCATCAAGAGGAGATAATCGCCTCCTCAATGAGTTGAATAACATTTTAAAGAATAGTTAATCTACAAGTGATAATGGCATTCACTATACTGTGGTCGATGTGTAATCGCTGAAAGCCACCAGTAAAAATGTAATTACGAAGGCCGGGACAAAACTAATGGAATAAAACAAAGAAATAAAGATCATGACGCCTGTTGTGTACAAGTCGCTTTTCTGGCTCCAGACATTGATTGATTGTATTTGCAATTCAAGTTCACGCGATAATATCATGCAGTGATAAATACGTGAGTGAGCTTTATAGAAGAGTCAAGAGGACAGAATAAATTCATTAAAAAAATCTCTGGTTTGGTCTGTCCTCAAGATAATCGTTGACCTACGAAGAGCCCTTTCTTAAGTACGACATCCGAGAGTGTAGTATGAAAGAATTCCTATTAACATTCTGCGTGCTATGCAAGCATAGAAAAATAAAGAAAACAGAAAACGCTCTCTTCGTATTTTCATATTCAGAAGTTATTAAAATTATAATATTACATGTAATATTTTCAAATTTAGATATTTCATTTCATATTTACAAATTTAAATATTACATTTTATTTTTCAAATTTATCTATTTAATTTATTTTCAAATCTAAATATTAGTTGTAATAATTTATTTAACTCCTATGTTCAGGGGTCGGTAAAATAATTCACAAAATCCTGATACACATATATACGGAAATATATTATCTCTACATATTATATATATATATATATATATGTGTGCATGTGTGTGTGTGTGTGTGTGTTTTGTGTGTGTGTGTGTGTGTGTGTGTGTTTATGTGTGTGTGTGTGTGTATTTAGGCATCAAATTCTCTTTCAGGTAAGTCTGATTAAATAAATTACAAACATTATGTCTGCTTATTTTTATCATAATCCTTTCATATTCACGAATATTTTTTCCGTATATAACAATTAAATAAGGCAACAAATGTCCTGTAAGAGTGAGAATCACTTTTATTTCCCTAAGTACTTTCCATCTCTTTCTGAGACCATAATCAGGGGGGCAATTGTCAAAGCAAAATCTAATGGATGTGTGGGGTTGGCTCCGTCTTACTGGAACCACTGTTTATCTTGATGTAGCCCTCGGCAAAAACTATGTGTAGCTACACATAGTTTTTGCCTTAACAGTTGATATGAATACGAAAGGATTATGATAAAATAAGCAGGCATAATGTTTGTAATTTATTCCCTCACACACACACACACACACACACACACACACACACACACATATATATATATATATATATATATATATATATAGAGAGAGAGAGAGAGAGAGAGACCTACCTGGAAAAACACGTAACTATGTTTGAATGGTTTTGTGACACAATCGAAGACAATCCAGACTTCTTGTATCATGTTTCTGCTTTCAGTATATGTAAACAGCAAAAACAGTGTTTATTTGGGTACAGCCGTACCGGAGGATGTGTTACAGAGGCCGTTACATACAGTATGGTTGCAATTTCTAAACATGGCATTATCGGTACATATTGGTTCGAAGATGATAATGAAAGACCTCGAATACGGAACGCTACGTGGCAGTGCTGAAGAAGATTTGAGCATCAATGGGACGACGCCGAGGGCTACATCAAGATAAACAGTGGTTCCAGTAAGACGGGGCCAACCCCACACATCAAATGACTCCCTAGCCTGACTGAGAGAGCAATTTCAGGAGGAACCGATCAGCAAGGAGTGTGACGTTGAGTGGACACTACACTCACCGGACTTGAACCCCACGGATTTTTAGTTACGGGGGTATTTTTAGTTACGGGGGATAATGTGTAGCAGAACAACCCTCCTAACGATTGGCGAACTGAAGGCAGCAATCACAGAAAAAATTAGGGAAAACCACAAAGAGGAATGCGTCCGAGTAAGTGACACTTTTGCGCGACATTTGCAAGTTTGCCTCCAACGCCATGGAGTCCATTTGGAGCATATTTTGGAAAGAACGTGACTTGTATGCAAATCGACCAATTTTAATAAAACTTCGTGGAATGATCGTACACATAGTAACAAATGAAATTAACTGGAGCTTTGTAGGATTTATTACAATATTTATGGGTTCTATTTTTTCGGTTACACTATATATATATATATAGTTGTATACTTAGGCAGCAATACTTGGTTTATGCATGTTTCATTAAAAACGACAAACAAGATACTACGGTTAAACTTTTTATTAAATTTTTCTTGTGTTCTAACAAGAGCTTTCTTTTCTGGACAAAGAGTCTGTAAAAACTATCCAAATGTTTTATAGTTCCGAGCGCTTTCGGCTATACCTTTAGCCATTATCAAAGATGATTCGACTTTTCAGCTTAATTGAGTGTGTGCATTATGTGTAGGTTTTAGCGTGTTGTGGGGATGTTTTAATTTCCGAATACGGTTAGCATATTGTGGCCTTGTTCGTAGTTAATATTGTTAAGAGTTGGCTTTTTCTTTTTTTATTATTAAAGATTCCATTATTTTTAATCATTTTTTACAGGTGGATGCAGTTATTTTATTGGTGTTTTCTACTAGTATGTTCCTAATAGAGTCAGGTAAATTTGTGTGTGTGTTTAAATAGGTTCTAATGAAGCTGTAATCAGATAGGTGTAACGTAAGACGTCCGGATAAGCATGTAGTTGTGTAACCGATGTAATTATTTATGAGTCCAGTTTGATCAAGAACACAATTCCTTAAGGGGCATTTGAACTCATAGATGATGTTCGTTCTTTGTAATTTTGACTTAGCTGGTGTGTTGTTATTTTTGAGGATCAGGTTAGCCGTCTTAAATTTTTTATAATAGAGAATTAATTTGATTTTTTTTATTTAGGTCAATTGGAGAACGCATATAAGTCTATGAAAAAGTGATGTGGTGGTAAGACCAATGTATATATGGCTTTTTTCGTTATGATCAGTGATATTGGTTTGTCATTGTCCAGTAGATTTTTAATGAAATATTGAATGTAACAAGGAGGGTGGATGATGTAAGATTGTTGTATTGTTTATTAAAGCCTGAGTTAATCTTCAGAAGCATTATGGAGATGTTTACTGTGACGGTGAACTCCACGCAGTTAAGAACGCATGTAAGTCGATGAAAAAGTGATGTGGTGGTAAGACCAATGTATATATGGCTTTTTTTTCGTTATGATAGGTGACATTGTTTTGTCATTGTTCAGTAGATAATGAAATAATCAATGTAATAATGAGGCTGGATGATGCAAGGTTGTTGTGTTGTTTATTAAGGCCTGACTTAATTTTGAGAAGCATTAGAGATGCTTACTGTGTCGGTAAATTTTTCACTGTTAGTAACACAAATAAGTCGACGAAAAAGTGACGTGGTGGTAAGACCAATGTATATATAGTTTTTTTTTTACGTTATGATAAGTGATATTGGTTTGTCATTGTCCAGTAGATTTTTTAATGAAATATTGAATGTAATAAGGAGGTTGGATGTTTTAACCTTTTTGCAATGTATAATGAATTTTATGTTGTTATTATAATCATTTTTCAAAGGTTAATATCCGAAGCAAAATATTCAAACGTAGAATATTGACACAATATAATCTGTTTACATTCTCATGTGGCCCAAATCGATTTACTTTTAATGAAAGTTTATGGCATTTGTCATTTATGGAAATAGATATTTTGTTTATTAAAGATTTATATACATGAGAAAATGTTTTAGATTTTTAGTCCTTTCTTCTTCTGAAAACAAATGTGGAATATTTCTTCTTTAGAAAATAGAGTTGCTCCCGCTGTTAATGTCTTCGTTATCAGCGACGGCTCGGAAACTGAAATAAACAAAAAACGTAATCTTTCATAGAACATGACATTGTATAATATAGATTAAAAATAATATAAACATTATGAAATAATAATATAGATATAAATAATGAATATAAATACAAATATTTATATATAAATATTTATATATAAATATTTATATCTATATATAAATATAAAAATATAGAAATATATATTTACATATGAATATGTAAATATTTATATAAATATAAATAATAAGATAAAAAATAATATAAACAATATGAAATAATAATATAAATATAAATAATGAATATAAATACAAATATTTATATATAAATATTTATATATAAATATTTATATCTATATATAAATATAAAATATAGAAATATATATTTACATATGACTATATAAATTTTTAAATATTTATAAATTTAGGAGATAAAAAATAATATAAAATAATGAAATAATATAAATATAATCAGTAGCTTTCAGGATTATATTCTTTTTATATATAAAAAATAGACAAACGTTTAAACCGATAAGACAATGATTATTTTAGTAAGTGATATATTTTCAAAGATTAATGTATATATTTCCATCAAAACAATTATCTACGCCGATAGTAAATGAAATAAAATCAATAAATAAAATAATAATAATAATGAAGAATAATAAAAAAGAAAAAGAATAGATTTTTCCCGTGATGTTCGTAGTAAAGTAACCGGAGTTATGATTACCTCACTTCATTTCGTCAAACGCCGTTAGGTGGTGCTGGTTAGGTCTATAAGTAATTGCCTTTCCTGCTGCGAAACTTTCGTTTTCCCGCTCCACTGACGACTAAACACTCTTTCAACTTTCCAACGCATAGCGTTTGTACGTGCCTTCCAAGAACTCATGCCTATGAAGTAAATCACGCTTTCCGTTGGTCACTCCAACTCAGCGCAAGGCTGACTTGAGCACGACTATTAAAACACACTGACACACCACCGATGAAGTAAGACAAGTTTTCTTTGGTCATTTCATCACTGCGATTATCTTTACTTACCTAACTTCTGGACAAAGAAAAAAAAATTGACATAGCCAAAAGTCATTCAGAACTTTGTTTCCTACAGTTTATATATATATATATATATATATATATATATATATATATATATATATATATATATATATATATGTATAAAAAGAGAATAAACGGTCCGTAGTAGAAATTTCTCACTCTCTCTCTCTCCGTCTTTTTCTTTCTTTTCTTTCTTTTATTTATATATATATATATATATATATATATATATATATATATATATATATATTATAAATTGATTTATTTAAAATATGTTTTTTTTCGCTACACAGTTCTAACTATGTTTCAAAAATGGAAGCTAAAAGCTACGAATTTAATTTTGTAATTAAATTAAAGACATTAGTTCCATTTCATCCTCAAATGAATTTTGGAGTAACTTTTAAAATTACTGGGTTTTAAAGACACAGCTAAAATCATAATTCACGTTTCCAAGGTTACAGATAAATCCACTTCCACTAGACAAGGGGTGCCTGCGTGTTCATTATGTCTGTATTTTGATGTATCAGTTATTAGTTACGTTTTGCTAGGGGGTAGGGATGTATTTTTCAATTAAATCTGACATCCATTGAATGCATGTCGTCTGGATTTTTTAAAAAATTTATTGTTAACGGCAAAAATTCTTACGGCATTTTTTTCAATTTGTATATTTAAAGATTTTTGGCGGTGTTTAGGTTAGAATACGTTTTATTTAACTACGATTTGAAATATTCTAATTTTTAATTTTTAATATACTATATATTTTAAAAACAATTAAATGTATTAGAATCCCTTATAGTATGTAGAATTACTTTTACATTGAGCACTATTTTGTAAAAATAAAAATATCTATAAGAACACCGGATTATATATCTTACTGTTCTTTCTTTTATTTATATATACATATATATATATATATATATATATATATATATATATATATATATATATATATATATATATATGCACCACTCCTAAACTACGCTTAACACGCAACCTTTTACATTCCATAACTTTTATATGAAAATGCTGGACAATGTGTCGATTAGAACAGGTTAACTTTTTTTTTTTTTTTTAAGCATTTCACCCCAAGCAAGGTGGGAAGTCACTAGGACGCAAGGGGTTACAAAAAATATAGAGCGAGATCAGATAGGAGTGATAGAGGTAAGGATGAGGAGAAGGATAGTGGATAGATCAAGGCAACTGGAGATATCGATTGACATTACACTTGAATAGCTGGAGATTATAGCTCTCAGGGAATAGGGAAGGGAGTTCCACAGGCGAGAGTTGCGAGAAATGAAGCTATTGGAGTAGAAGAGACGCCTACATTTAGGAGTTTCGACAGTGAAGGTGTGAGAGCGGGATGCCAGCCTCGTAGGGCGCTTGAACTCATGAAGTCTGGGAACCAGCGAATGCAGCTCCACGGAGCAATTACCATGAAAGTATTTGTAGAAAAGACAGAGAGAGGCGACAGCGCGTCTGTGAGAAAGTGACTGTAGACGAGACGCCAGGGTAGGTCCAACTACATTGCATATCCGCCTCTGGAGCCTATCAA